AAATAATTTGCCAGAGCAACTAGCACTTTTTCATCAATATTCAAGAATTATTGACTTAAAACAAAATATTATGTCAAGTATGCAAGTAACTGTCAAGTTACTTGCTGAAAAGTAACTTGACAGTTTTGTCTTATTTCAAGATATTTGCTCTAGAAACTAGAAAACAGATTCTGTGTTTCTGCAGTGGATTGCAATAAGAAAATGCATTTATTTTAAGGCTTTTATGCATCTTCATCAGGCGTTTCAGTGACTGTCCTTGCGTTTGCACATTAATCACATTAAGCAAGACTCATATAATCGTACCTTTTTGTTTCTCTTGCCGCATCTGTTCAACCTCTTCTTCTACGCTGTAAAATTTTACCTGGAAAACACTTTTGGCAAAGACCTGCGAAGGCAACATCCATTTACATACAGGTATCAGGTATTAATACGGTAAAAGACAAAACATGTTGTGTTTTACCTCTTTAATGAGTGGATTAACCAGAGTGGAGCACGGTTTGGAGAAGAGTTTGTCGGCTCCGCCGCTCTCCTTCCAGAGCATGAGCTGCACCGTCGGTGGGGCCATGTCCAGCGGAGCGACCAGATCCGAATAATCCGAGATCTGCTCCCTGATGGCGTCGTTGCTCAGCTCCTTCATCTGGTCGACCACCAGCTTACGTTTCCTCTTACCCAGCTTTCTCTCAGCGTTTGCTTAAAAAAAAATATTTTTTTTTTTTAAAATCAAAAAGGCTGTTTGACTTCTTAGTCCCTCCAGGATGTTGCAATGTTTTTATGTGGTAGTTGCGGATTAAAATTTCTGATTTTACAGCACCTCTCTCAAAAAGTTGAGTTTTTTTAAGCTTTATTTTTACAAAACAGTTCAAATTGCTGCACTTAAGTATCCAAAAAAGGATTTAACATAATTAATATTTAAAGTGCACATAACATTACCAAGTAGCTTCTTGAAATATCAGCGTCAATACAATAAAGTCACATCCTGAGGAACTGCCAAAAGAAGAATTTGATATTGGTTATTAAAATTAACATTAACTGGATAAACAGTAGAAGTCAGTCCAATAGAACCGGGCTTCAAAATATGTAAAGAAATATCAAAGTTTAGTAAGTTTTTTCTCCTTAATTCTCAATAATTATTATATTTGTTTAGCAGAAATGCTGCCTCATTCCTTCTGATTTTAGATGGCCAAGATGAACATTTATTTTATAATTTAAATATAGATTAGATATTTTAAATAAAAAAAATATACTTTGATATAAAGAAATTATATAAAGAAATTGAGCAAAAATCTTTATTTTTGCCATTTTTTTCCACGTCTTCCCTCAAGTTTTCAGAGGCCCTGTAGCGCCTCCTGGTGGCCGTCCCTTTAAAAACACTGCTACAGAGCATATTGAAGTGTTTTTTTGCACACAAAAAAAAACAACAAAAAAACAATTTTTACAGTTTAGCATAATCCTGCAGGTTTGGTTTTCAAGAGACGTCATGAAACAGGAAGTTAGATTAGAAAAAGGAAAAGCAGATTGGTCAAAGTTCAGCCGAGTTGCAGTGATTGGTCAGAAATTAAAGAAAATGGTTAAGTTATTAGTGAGCAAAAGTTGCGATGACTGGTGAAAATTATAAGTCCGTGAAAAGTGACTGAATTTGTAATAATAGTTGCGATCGCCACGTCTGTCACAATAACAAATATTGCTGGGCGATAAATCATCCCAGAAGTTATTGCGATAAACGATAATATTGTTACTTTGGGACATTTTTAAGTGATAAAATGATAATGGCAACAACACATTCTGAAAAATCACTAAACTTTAGATTCTGATGAATATTTAACACTGGAACTGGGAGATGTTTTAAATATCCAAAATAAAAACAACAGGAAAAACCAAATGAATTATGAAATCTCTGTAAACTAAATTGTAATTTAAAAAAAAGGGAATGTTGAGACCAAAGTATCAGACTGAAGAGTTTTATCATCCAGTTTTAGTTAGAAAGAAAAGAGAAAAATGATAAAACAAATAGCAATTACAGAGCTAGTTTTATAATTGATTTATTGCGACAGACCCAGCCATCGCAACATCTCAGCTGACTCCTTAATGATCACTGGGAAATGGAGGATCCCAGTTTGAGGCGTTTGCTTACGCGTGATGGGAACGGGTTCTAAAGCGAAAGCGTCCTCATCGTTGATCAGCAGAGTGATTTCAGTTACCGTCTCCTCAGGAAAGCCGAGGTCGACGTCTGGAAAACACCAGGAGAAACACGACCATCACACACATGAAAACCCACAGAGTTTGTTCCAGACATAAAAGTGCTGTTTTGTAAAACATCGTCACCCATGTGAGGTTCATCATCCTGAACTGGAGAAGCTTCTTTATTTTCACTTTGCAGCTCTTCCTGGATGAAACTCTGGGTTTCAATCTGATCGATGGGGTTTGTCAGGAAGTCTGAAGGGAAACCAAGAAGCAGCAGATCCCTTTAATCTATGACAAACTGTTACCTTTAATGGAAATAAACATTAAAGCTGCAGTAACTTAAAAAAAAAAAAAAAAAACATTATTTACATATTTGTTTAAGCTGTCACACATAGCTCTGTAAAAAATTAAGAGACCAAGCCCACCGAAAATGGCGGATAAACAGTTTTCCTGTAATCACAAGTTGTTTCTGCAGCATTAGCACATTTAGCAGTGAGCACATGAGGATGATTGACAGCAATAACACCCTCTGATTGGTTGTTCTTGGACAGTGTGTTTCTCAATAGTAGCTCAAAGAGACGGTGGAGGAGATCAATGTTTTCACAGATTATCTGGTTAATTACAAACTGTCAGGACATGGTGACAAATTTAACAAATATATTAAAAAAATACTTATTATAAACATTACACACTGCAGCTTTAACAAAACAAGGGAAAGAGTTGGAAAAAATGCTGAGCTTTTTAATTCATTAGATTTAAGAACAAAAAGGAGCTTAATTAATTCGACCTACCAAGTATGTCAAATTCGTTCTCCTCATCGCCAAATCCGTCTCTATGTGCTGAAAAGTCATCAAAGCTTTGGTCCAGCAGTGTGTTTGCTTGGCTCTGTAACTCATCTCCTACATGTCAGAAAGAGCGAAAAGAGACAAAGACTAAATGAGAAGCAGCTTTGCCCTAGGAAATGTGGTGTCAAAAAAATGGATCCTGCCTTATTAACAGAAACTAAAAATGATAAAACTACTATAAACATCAAACTCTGGAGGAGGATGAAAACAATCTTTCTCTCACCGATGTCTTGAAAGTTCAAAAACTGATGTCCGAAATCCTCTTTCAGAGTGATATCCTCTGAGCGACACTGGTTGAGGGACACATGGTCCACATCGATGTCACTTAGACGATCAAAAATGAAGGAGAACATTTAAATCAGAATCAGGTACTGTTGATTAATCAATCTGAAATCGTTTCCATGGGGATTAGAAACGTTTCCAGGAGAATTGGAGAACATATTGGAGGTGAGTGTTTGTGGAGCCTGAGCTGTCACCTGGGCAGAGGCAGCGGTGTGTCAAAGACGGTGAAGTCTTCAACCAGAGTGATCGCCTTCACTGTCGCCTCAAGCCCTTCCACAGGCATATCAGTCTGACCTGGAATATTGACATAAAAAACAACATCAATCGTTGCATTAATCTAATGCAACATCGATGCATTAATCAATTAATGCATCAATTAATCGATTAATGCATTATTTAATTATTTCAATTAAAAACAGTACTGAAACATAAAAAAATTAAATGTTTATAATTCAGCAAGAATAAAACAATCATAAAAAATAGGACTTATTTATTATTTTTTAAAATTATAGCCTGCACATATTATGAGTTTACAAATGAATGTAAAATGAAGAGCCCACTGCACCGAACCCCATTGAAATCCTTCTGGTTATTCCACCAAATCTTGATTCCTGAACTTTTCCTGAGTTAAAACATTAGTTTTGTTGTTTCTAAATGAATATGAACTTGATTTCTTTGCTTTATTTGAGATCTGAAAGCTCAGCATCTTTTTTCTTATTTTGACCATTTCTCGTTTTCTGTAAATAAAAACTAAATTTTTGCTTGGTATTTCTATAACCAAAAAATTCTATAACCAATTTTTAGCAAATAAAAACAGATATGATGCAACAGCAGTGGTCAGGGTTTAGCTCCAAACACCATAATAAAATACACGCTGCATGTAGGTAAATAAGACATAAATATATAAAGCAGTAAGAAACACTACTTTGAAAAATAGTGTTTTATAATAAACCTTGTTTAAACATTACAAGGCTTACCCTTGTTTCTAATACCTTTATATGACGTTTTTAGAGGTGTTCTTTTGTGTGTGTGGAGTTTTAAAATAAAAACTTGAAAAAGAACAGGTTGATTTCATAGTAATTTTGTCCAAGTTATGGTGGAAATTCAGATTCTTAGCTTAAAAAATGGGTTAAAAACAGATAAGTCTGAAAATCTCCCCAAAATCTTTATACATTATTTTGTGTCTTCCATACTAACCTGACCTGTAAAAATTAAACACAATTTTACTTTTCCAGATTACATAGAAACTCTGACAATTTCTTGGAACTTCTAAAATATTATAATCAACTTTTTAAATGTATTACTACAAATAAAAAAATGAAACACAGAAAATATGCAAAAAAGTACAAGTAATTGTTACCTGGCCTGAATGCCATTTTAATTTTGACCAGGGCATCACTGCAGTCTGCAAGGAGATACTTTGTCTTCCTGGAGTAGATTCTGACCACGCCAAGAAGAAGATGACCAGAAGTCCTCAAACCAATTTTCATCTAGAAGAAAATCAGATTCACATTTTTATAATCAGCTGTTTAAGTTACTACAAATTAACTGGATTTAACAAATGGATACATTTCATTCTAAAAGGTGTAGATATGTATTTTTAGGAAGTAAGTGGTACTTTAGGGGAAAGGATGTCTCTGATGGATGTTTCCAAGTTGCATTCAAACACATGGGCCTTGGTAAGCTTCTTCTCCCAGTGCGCTGCCAGCCAAATTTTGGCTAAAGGACCTCTTTTGGACGTAAACAGTTGCGTGAAGAACATCATTGTGAAAGGATTAATATGACCTGGTATAGAAAAACAAAGAGATGCCAAGCTAGCTTTGATCATGTTTATAAACTTTATAGCAACAACACTGTGTATCGTTTATGCTAGGTTAGGTTAAAGTCAGCTAACGCTAGCTGTCACTGCGTCGTGAGCTAAAATCCGGCAGCTATAGGTCAACTTTTATGGGTAAAGACATGACGTCGGTAGAAATTTTATGCTTCATCATTTAGAAATGAAATGTAAACGTTGTAAGGGAGATAATATCGCCGATATCACGAGCACGACTTACCTTTAGTTCAAGCGAAAACGAATTTTGACAACCATTAGTGAACGTCAGCACAAGACGTATTTAGTTGCTAAGCAACTATCACTTCCGTTCCAGAAAACGAACTATGTCGAGTCTTTTTAAAATCTGTAACTCTTTTATTGCTCGAAGAAAGACAACGACTAGCGTAGATACTTATTATATTAACGAGGCAAATAAATTACGAATAAATAAATTAATAAAATTATCAGCGTCAACGTTTCCCTCGATGATGACGCGAGGAAAATGCGTCAACGCGTCCTTCGACTAGAAGGAAGCTTGGAAGATTTGAGTGATATTTGAGATTTTTCGGCTTGATTCGACTATAACACACTTCCCTGTATCTGTATCTTTCCCGTAACTATTATATAAGAAACTGCAATGTTGATTTTGCATCTGTTGGTTATTGCGCAGGACAAAAATAGCCGAATGTCTGTATGCCGTTCAGAACAAAGATGGCGGACTTCCGAGTCGCAAGCGTTAACACCGTATTCTACAAAACATACAAAACATCTTCAAAGCAGCAGTAAGTATTTATTCTTTTCAGAAACGTTATGACAAAAGATTATTTGATAGGTCCTGTTAAATTATTAGAGCTTAACAGCTCTTTTTATTTTTGGTAATATAGTTTAAAGTACAAGTTTACTTCACAAAAAATAAATACATATTAAGTCTATTTTGGAAGAAGAATGAAAGATTCTAGCTTTTCTTTACAGTAGACATAAATCCTAGTTGAATGTATTGGCTTTTGGTAATCATTTTATTTGTAGACACTTTAAAACTTTTTTTCAATATGTTAAGATCTTGGGAGTTCCTTGGTAATTGCTTCGCAATTAAAATGTTAGAATTTGAAAATGTTTTTTTAACTAGGCAAACTTTTCAAATGGATAGATTTTTGCAATAAATAAAAGTAATCTCCATGCCTAGTAAACTAACAAAATGTCAACTTTCACTGCATAAGTTGAAGCCTTAAAACTTGAATACGTAGACCAATCCAGTCTGTTTGTAGAAAACAAGTTTATGGAAAAACAAGACGTTTGGTGGATGTCTTCTCAAAGCAAAAAAAAATATCACCTTTGCTGTAAGTGTGATCGTTTCTGTTTGTTTTCTCTAGATGGCGCCCTAGCTCCAAAACCCCAAAAATCTTTAAGCAGATTATTGTGCAAACTGGTAAGATTCTAGCTTTCTTTGCAGTAGATTATTAATTTGCTGATATCTGATCAACTTGTCTTCCGTAATTATTAATTACAGATGACTAATAATCATCTGTAACTAATAGATCATTAGTTACAGATGATTATTGTTGATAATTATTATCGACAGTAATTATTTCATCTTTATTGTGGATAAAAATTTTAATATTCATAATCCATTCAGTAAGATTTTGTGGTTTTTTTTTTCTAGTGGATTTTGCAAGATAATATTTACAGGAAGTATTAAATTGGTTTTGTCACCTCGTGTTCTCCAAATAAATGGAGGCACTAATCAGAGTTTTATTCAGGATTTAGAGAAAACACAAAATATTCAACTTAATGTTTACCAACAGTTAATTTATTATGATACTCAATTGTTTCTGCTGCTTCTAGAAATCGTATGTAATCCTGGAGAATAACTCACTGAAGGTTTTCAACAGAACATCAAACTATCATATGGACAGTTAAAATCAAAATAGCATTGATTTTACTCCAGGAAACGCAGAACAACTGTAAAACAAACAAACAAAAAAAAACAACAACAACAAAAAAAAGCTTTTTCATTTTCTCCCTCATCAGGATTTAAAATTGACCTCTCTTATAACTTTGGGGCAATTAAAGTAAATTTTAATTGACTGAAACATCAGTTTACTTGGCTTCTGTAACTGGCCTAATGTTTGATTCTATGCGATACTTTTCATAAAATGTGAAACAGTTGTTTTTCCTAGTTAATAAGGGAATAAATACATACATTAGTGTGAAATTACAATGTGTCGTAGCCTAAATCAAACTGTTTTGTTTTTCTTTAAACTCTAACACTAAGTATAAAAAGCAACCAAAGCACTCTGCAATAAACATTTGTATTTTAAAATCTGTTCTAGGTTGCTCAATTGTTTCTTGTTAATGACTTTTAGTGACAATTCAGTGCATCATAATAATTGTTTCAATTGTGATTATTGCAGAAACCTGGTGGAAATAGAAAAGGACTTCTCAGAGCAGAGGTAAAGTCAAACACATTATTTTCCCTTCCCCTCTTCTGCTCTGTTTCCTTTCTTTTCTTTTTTCACTCTTACAGATACACACACATTTAGTATTTACTGTTTTCCTTCAAGGAAGAAATCCTGGGCTAAGAATTAAACACAGCAAAATGAATTTCTGCTGTTCACTTGACGCCTGGGGTGGCGCAGCTGCACAGCAGCACTTGGTGCGTCAAGTCACGGTTTGGATTCACTTCCAGAGAGCGCTTCAGGGAAACTCAGGGAGAACGAGTTTATTTGAGAGAATGAGACTTTAAAGAGGAAGGAAGGATGTAAACTCATCACTGATTCTGACTGAAGTGAGCCTCCTACTCCAGCTCTGTGAGGATTCACCGCAGAAAAGGAGATTTTATTTTTAAGGAGCACATTTTCAGCGACAGGGAAATTCATCGCTCTTTACATGGTTAAAGGGGAAATTAAACAAGAAATATGGGAAAACTTTACATTGCAGTGGCAAAGCAAAGGAAAGAGATGAAAAGCAGTTCACAGTTTATGATGTTCCAGTTGTTAATAGAAAGCAACTCTAAATAAATGGGATTTTTAGCCTTGGTTTAAAGCAGGGGTCTGCAACCTGTGGCTCTTTGGACCTTCCACAACGGCTGAAAAGTATATATTTAAAAAAAGTAATAATATTAAGTATAGATTTAAAAACAAATGCAGCGTTGAGCAATTTTACTGTTTTTTCTTTGAATAATTTAATTGAATTTCCACAACAGAATGACATTAAAGGTATCAACAATTTTATATCTATTTTTTTGTCATTGGGTTGAAAGCAATTGACTTTTTTCTTTTGCCAGTATTAGCATCGGTATCTCTTTTTAAAATGTAGGTTTTCTGTATATAAAGCTGAAAAATAGAACTAAAATGGTGGTTCTTTAAAAATGTTCCATAGCAGATCAAAAATGAAAAAAATGCTTTTATTATGTAACATTTGTGGCTCTAAATGAGTTTTATTTAGCTGCACTGGGGCCAAGAACGACTCTTAAAGGTCGCAGAGCCCTGGTTTAAAGGAACTCAGTGTTTCAGCATTTTTGCAGTTTTCTGGAAGTTGGTTCCAGTTAGAGGAGCATAAAAACTGAATGCTCCATGTTTGGTTCTGGTTCTGGGGATGCAGAGTGGACCAGAACCAGAACAGATCTCTTATTTATTTTGGTGCTAAGCTGTTTGGTGCTTTATAAGCTAATACAAGTATTTTAAAGTCTTTGAGCTACAGTGAGCCGGTTTTAAGGAGGTTTTGTTTTCTATTTTCCCGGTTTTAGTGAGGAAGCAAGCAGCGTCTTTAACTAAATGATGTGGATATAAATTAGAACTGGGCAGACGATCCAAAAATGTAAATTATATCGATACCAAACCAGCATCAGTATCAGATCGATACTAACGTGATAAGATTAACGCTTTTGTTTCAGACACCTTTTTGAAATTTTATTTTGGTTTTGTGTTCTAGTTTCTCAACTTTGCCAGAAAAAAAATATTTTGCTTTGATTTTCTCTCAGATTGTGTATTTTTTAAACTTTAATTGGAAAACAACAAACACATTTAGTTTGCTGTTGTTTCTGAATTCAAAAGAAAAACCACAAAAACACCTGAAGGTTAGAAGTTTGATGATACATCATTGGTATTGGATTGATACCAACATATGCAATACCTTTAATATGAATTATATTCCATGACATTTAGATAAACTCTTTGCCAATGAAATATTTTAAATGAATTATGCAATAGATTCAGAAATGGAAATCTAAGGTAAATTTTACCTTAGATTTAAGTAAGAAAATAACTTTCCAGTGGCCACATCAGTTCTTTTTCTTCAAATTCTTTTTTATTATCTAAAATTCATATTTTTCCTCCATAATAAACAGTTTTATATCAAAGTTTATCCTTTATGACGGTTTGTTTTTGCTGCCTGCTGTGGAGTTTGCATTTTTATCTTATTTCTGTTCAAATCCAGCAGAAGAAGATTCTGCTTCAGGAGATAAATAACAGTAATTCATATTTATGACCGACGTTTGTGAGATTCTGCATCCGTTTACGGACCGCCTCATGTTGTATTTCCTTTTAAACCCGCTCACCTTATCTTCATAGGACCGGGATTTTCAGTGTAGCTTTGGTTTGCTCCGTTAAAAACCTGTGTGACATGATAACAATGAAATGTTTTAAAATGAAGGTTTTTATATCTGTGCCTCCCGTCATAAACAGGATTAACGTTTTAAATGAAATTTATGCTTAAACGTCTCAAAAACCTCTCAACGAAATACGTCTAAAGTTACAGTATTTATTTAAGTAATTCAGTTGAAAATGTGAGATAATGCACATTATTTACTGACAGAATCAAATGCTTCAAGTGTCTTTTTCTTTCCATATTGATTGTTACGTTTTGCAGACAATAAAACCCCAGTTGTTTGTTTTTTCAAGAATTAATCTTTTTATGTAAGGCCAATAAAAACAGGGTTTTAAAGCAGAAATTGTGTTAAATTCAATAAAAAAGAAGAGAAAACTGCTGACTTTATAGTTGTTCAGCAGACAGTAACTGTTCCCCTCACCAGAGAGGCCAAACAAGGTCACTGCAAAAGAAATGTCAGTACTGAGAAAAAGTTAAGTGGAAGGAAAAAGTGGGACAGCATGAGTTGAAGCAACAGAGATAACCATGCAGGTGATCATAAATCCTCAGGTTGAATCCTATGTTATTATAACGGTCTAATTCTGCTAAACACAAGATCTGACTCATTTGGATTTCACACAATTTTATCAGCTCTTTAATTATAAATAACCTTAAATCTAATTTAAAGTTTTCATTAGCTGTAATATGAATTACACTATGTCCCAATAAATAATAAATCAATTAATCAGTTAATCGCGTGATAACAAAAGTTTTTCTTTTGAGTTTTTGTTTAAAGAGAGTTGTTTTCTCTCTTTATGCAATAAACTGGTCTCAACTAGCTTTTTTGAAGGACAATTTTGTTTACAGAGACTTCGTAGTTCATTTTATTTGTTATTGCTGTTGTTTTGTTTGGAAATTTAAAATATCTTCCAGTTCCATTGTTAAATCTTTGAGAATCTATTTTTGTGTTGTAAAATGGTCTCAAAACAACAATATTATTGTTTATCATAATAACTTCTGGGACAATTTATCATGCAGCAAAATTGGTTATTGTGACGGGGATTTACATTGGCTGTTAATTGGCTCCTAATTGAACGGACTGAACAAATTAAATGTGTTTCTACATATTTAATTGTACTGCATTTAACAAATAAATTTGTAATTCAGTACATTTGTGTCTTTGTTTAAAAAA